TCCTCAGCATTATTCCTGAAAGTAGTCTAACTGAGAATTTCAGAAGAGACGTGAGTGTCGCTAGTATCCAATCTACGAAGTATATCATAACAACACTAACGCTAACGCTAACGCTAACGCTAATAGGATGCTTTGTTGATTGTTCATTAACTCAGTGTCAACATTTCAAAGGGGCGTAATTCCATTTATAAACAATGGCGTTAGCCATAGATTTCTCGCGGATAATAGCATACTCATGAAAATTAATTACACCAGCAGGTAGAAGAATGTTTCCTTTACTAGATTGCATTGTTAATTTGAAGGGATGGTCTTTTATTCGCGAAAAATCGATAGCTCAAGCCATTGTTTACAAAAGCAATTACGCACTGAACTCTTGATTGCTTGTAATACTTGAATATTTTAGGTGAAAAAAAAGGCGAGCTAAGAGGTGGACGCTTGAGTTTTTTTTCACATTTATATCGCTGTGAAGCAACTGTAAATTCTAGAGGGAATTTATATCTGTAACTGAAACCAGTTCGATTTTGTTTGCTAACCTGGTTAAAATGTCATATTTAATTATCTTAAAGATAAATCGTCCAGCTCACACCTTTGTAGGGGTAAGAGGTGGGACCATCATCATCAAACGTTGCCAACATTAGCACCGTTTTCAATGAATCAGTTATCATCAACTTCAAATTTAAAATAACTCCATCTTTGCCATCAACACAAAAATTATCATCACATCCATAAATTTCTTAATCTCTTTCTTTCACATGAACTGTAAAATTGCCGTCAGTTTCAATGTTGATATCACAATCATTAACATCAACATTGCCGTTCATCGTCAAAATTACCATCAACATTCTATTTTCCAATTTATCAGCCTACCGGACTTTCACTGTATTTCTTATAAGATGTATTTTTCACCTACAAATTCTTCCAATCAGGGAAATTTTCATGTTATTGTTTGCTTTGCCATCGTCTACCGGCCTACTCCACTGCTTATTCTATCAGGCAGCCTGCCGGAGACATCTTCTCCTTTGTATAAAGAGGGTTAGTTTCTTTTATCTCTCGGCCTACACCACTGCCCTTGCGTCAGGGAGCCTACCGAGGATATTTTCATACTTATCCATCTTTTTCTTTTTCTTTTTTTTATTTTGTCTGCCGGCCTACTCCACTGCCCTTCCGTCAGGGAGCCTACCGGAGACGTTTTCAAAACCGTCGCCCTTTCGTCGGGGATTTCATATTTTATTTTTTTATTGCTCCCGGCCTACTCCACCTGGGAGCCTACCAGGAAATATTTCTACTACTCCGCCCTTCCGTCGGAGGGTAATTTCTTTTCATTACACTATACTTACTTTGACACTAATTAGTCTACCGACTGCACCATTGTCGTGACCGGACCGAGGTTTCTAGCCTTGGTCACGGCTACACAAATCTCGGCTGATCCGCTTCCACTGCTACTGGTGTTCCTGCTGCTATGCTGTTATTCCTGCTGCTATGCAGAAATTCTACCACAGTTAAGATTTGGAATTTTGATAATTTACCTGCAGAGTTCTGTCAGTTAAATAATTTTGACCTAATTTCATAAATTTAAACTTTCTCGATTTAGCAATCAAACCTTCAGTGTTTGGCAACTGACAAATGTTAATTACTGAAAACAGTAGTGGCTTCTGTCCGCTCTGCTTCGTCATGCATAAGAGATACGGGTTTGACTTGTTAACAAAAGTTGTAGCTAATAACAAAACCTACAAAAGCTCTATACATCATTTTGCGGAATGCTGTTGAAGAAAAAAGTTAGAGGCAAATGAATGTAAATGAATGCACGAAATGAATGCAAATGATTTTCCATGCCTTGTCATGACAATATTGTTCGCAAATTTTACTCCAGTTTGAATAGCATCAAACATGGAGTTAGATTTAAGCATATCAAAAATCATGTCAATTAATGATTTCTGTAAAAATTCCATTTTAGGAGCAGTAATGCTTCCTGTCAAAATTTTCGTAAAAATTACGTTGGTTAGTATTTTGATTTTTACCTGCTGCAATAGCAGCATTGGCAGCTCAATTTACTCGTTGAACATTGTTAGCAGCGAGGGGAGAAGGTATAGATGAAACATTTGAAGCAGGGGTGATATTTGTACCTACGGGTACGATTGTAGAATTTGTTCCTCGCTGACCGTTGTTAACAACAGAGGAATTTGTACCTGTTCGGAAACGTGGAGCGTTTCCTACCTGTCACTTAGAACGCTACCTACATGTCGCTTTGCCTCAGAGGAAGCACTAAAATTCATGCATATAGCTGGCATCAGGCATGGAAAATCATTTTTTTGTATTCATTTCGTGCATTCATTTACATTCATTTGCCTTTAACTTTTTTCTTCAACAGCATTCCGCTTTTGTAGATTTTGTTATTAGCTACAACTTTTGTTAACAAGTCAAATCCGTATCTCTGATGCATGACGAACCAAAGCGAACAGAAGCCACTACTGTTTTTCAGTGAATGTAGTTTACATTAACTGAAAAACAGTAACTAGTTCTGCCCGCTCTAGTTTGTGATGCATAAGAGACACAGATTTGAGTTATGAGCAAAAGTTGTAGTTAATAACAAAACCTACAAAAGCTCTATACATCATTTTACGGAATGCTGTTTATGAAAAAATTAGAGGCAAATAAATGTAAATGAATGTAAATGATTTCCCATGTCTGGCTGGCATGAAGCAATTTTTTGTTCCGTGACCCCATCTCTGGCACTTACGGCACTGGGTTAGGTTTTGGAAATTTCCTCCAGTCTTCCTGAAGTGTTCCCACTTCACTCGGACATGGAGTATAAGGCTAGCTTTTTCTAAGGCCTTAAGGTTGTTTAGTTCACTAGACTTGAAGTGAACTAAATAAAAATCATTAGAAATCCCGTTACGCGAATCGCCAGGACGGGATTTCATTTTCATTTTGGTTACTTGGAGTGGGACAACTCCAAGTAATTTTGCCAGTTCATCTTTGATCTGATCCAGGGACCACTGGGCAGTCCTTTCATGACAACCTTGAACACACGTTCAGTTTTGGTGTCGTAAGTAAAAAAAATATGCTGCTTCTAGGGGCACGTAATAACCTTTTACTTAAACGCAGGCAACGGCTGTAATTAAATTAATTTCATTAACTACTGCTTTAATTACATTAATTACACAATGTAGAACATTAACTACTTTTTAGCTCCTTTAATTACCGAGACTGGGTTTTGGTTCTTCTGGCCAGGTTAACAGGCCAGATGAACCAAAACCCAGTCTCGGTAGTGCGTAATTCTGGTGTTCGAACGAAAAGTCCCGAAACCTGCACGTGGCGTGCGTATTTGCCGCCGAGCTGGTCCCCAATCCCCACTATTAAATATATGCGTTCTCGACTGCATGGGATTGGTAGTTCGCGAGTGTCCGTCGGTTGTGTGGTAGCCGAAGGAGTGAAGAATTGCCTCCTTCGTGCTCCTAGTGTTGGTCCGAGAAACCAGACCAGAACCGGCCGTTAGAACGGTCCACATTATTGCACGAGTGGATAAAATTAAATTTTAAACCTATGTCCGAAAAGTTCGCCGCAACAAAAAAAAAAGATTAACCACGTGTGCTCACAGGATTCCAACGAGAATCCCTACCGCAAGTGCCCCGTTGCCTGCGACGACGTATAGAGCAAGGAGCGACGGCGCGGGCCCAACGTAACCTCTCAATCGACAGCCCCTGAGGGAAAAGGTAAGTTGCAAGCTACCTTTGTAATGTTATAGTTGTAGTAACACTTCCTTCAGCAAAAAGCAAATAGATCCGCACGGCAAGAGAGCACGATGCACTTGACTGTCAGTACTTCTATAAAACGGAAGGCAAAAGGCGTACGGTCAACTACCCCATTTCCGGCCTATTAAGCACAACCCGCACTTAGTCTTTCTTAATCTAGCGCAGTTTAGCACCAAACGGAATGTTATTATCACTGATGGCTTTCAAATTTATTTACCTTTCCGTACATACCGTAAGATTTGATAAAGAGAAACCAATCGTTGAGATAATGTCAAAAGTCTAACACTGCTTCTTGACGCCAAACTCGGCCTACGGATTCTAAACTCGGCCTAATGCATTGAAACGCCATTTAAACGCCAATGAATTCACTTCGGCCTATCGGATGAAGATAAAAATTGATTCGGTCGGAGCGCTTCTTTGGTTTTGGGAATAATGGGTGCAAACCTTCATACCACGCGTTCTCATTGACTTCGTTCGGTAGCTTATTAACTAAATTATCGTACCAAACGCATAATTGACTAGTTAACTTTAAAATCATGGATTTATTTGAAGTTTTCTGCTCGATAGGCCCAAAATGGGCGATTAGGCCGAAGTAGTTCTCTACCCTATAAGAGTTACCTATGTAGTGCGTTTTATGAACACGGTTTGTGAGGTACGTGTAACGCTTGTAGGTGTCATAATTCCGTTGCAATATGAAATCATGAATTTCCATCATGAAATCATGAATCAGTGTCATAAATTCATGGGATCGCAAGTTTTTTTTTTTAATTTTATGAATGTTTATTCATGAACTTGGAATCGGATTTGTTCCCGTGTATAGGGAATTCTGGGAAATGGTTTTATGGCAGTTAGTCCATTATGGCAAATTAATTTTGCGGTGGTTTGTGGATAGTCCTTTTCGTTGATAACTTGACTAAAAAACGTTTGCAGTTGTGTTGCTAGATAAAAACATCTTCCATTAAAATGTATGTTGAGAAAAGGCGGAACTGTCTGTATACTAACTGTGTTTATCCAGAAATAAAATCTATGAAAAGAACCGATGTTATTTGTATTACATTTTTACATAAGACCTTTTCAATGTTAGTTGATATATATTCTATTTTTTTTTCTCCCCTAGATCGTGACATAGATACCCTAATTTGATCCTTTTACATACAAAGAGATTTTAAAGAATTTTCGGAGCCGGATGAAACAAATCGGAAATAATATATGCTTTATATAGATAGATATATATGTATATATATATATACATTTATTTATTGTTCTGCGATTTTGTCCTCTAATGGACCTCTCATGTCACAACATGCTCGGCGAGTGGCTACTTAACACATGAGCAGCTCAACAGTTGCTGACGAGCTCTACAGTTGCCAAGCTATTCGATGAACATGCTTATTATTACAGGCTTGCTTCCATTTATTTTGCATAAAAAATGTTTTATAGCACCAGTATTGGCCATGTTTCTATTTTGGTCACAATTTTGAGATGTTCAGTTTGTTGGTACAAATCATATTCATCGGTGTACATAAACACCACAAAATACACACATATTGTAATTTAATCGGTTTTCTGAAGTGTGGCCAAAATAGGAACCAATGGCCAATACTGGTGCTACTAGGGGAAGTGCATAACATGTTATAATTATATTTTATATTTGTAAGTTACCAGAAGAGGTTGTAAGCGGCGCCGGTGGTGTAGTGGTAAGCGTGATAATGGTCGCCGGTTCATGAGTTGATGAGTCGATAGGTAGGGTCCAGGTGTAGGAGCTGCCTCCCTGGCGTCGGTAGCATTGGTGCTCAGCACGGAAAACAAGATCGACAGAAAACAAATAGAAGAAAAAAAGAAGATCTTGTAAGAAATGCGTTGTACACATAAAACCTGCCAATGTTGCTTTGAAAGATCACAATCAGCAATTTTCAAATCGCTGTTCGCGAATAATGAAGAATGGGTGAGAGGAAATGATTAAATCGCTTATTGTGACTCTCATAAAGCGAAATTGGCAGGTTTTATGTATTAAACACAAACTTTACTACCTTTTTTGTTGCCTACAAATACAAAATATCATCATAACATCTTATCATTCCATAATCCCATAAAAAATTGTTTTTTGCTAAATGAATGGAAGAAACCCTGTTTATTAACCGAGAGTGGAATCTCTTATACTAGTCAACATTTTTTTGCGCTACACTGATGATCACATATAACTACTTATGGATAATAATTTAGCTTAACTAGAAACTTTCGCTTAGATTATTTTTCCACTAAATTTTTTAAATGATAAAGAAACATGATGTTACGAGAAAAAAAAACATCTGGGAGGTTTTAAGTGTGAACCAACCCCCATCCTTTGCTACGCCACTGAAGAAATCATGGGCAAATCACAACAACTCACTCTACTCCAGTAATAATGCATTGAATACTGAACTGTTTCTCTACCTATATATCATTGGTTTCTTGTAGACGGCTATGGCAAACTTTACAGGTGCCAACAGATGTACGAATCCTTAATTGGAATATGGTTGAATCCAAGTGACAACACTTTCCACAGAACTCTTTTCTACAGTTACGGCATACGTTCTTAGATTCGTATCTACTGAACCTAGAAAAAAGAAAAAAAAAACATGCATACATTAAAAACTTCAAAAATTAACTGGGTTTTTCTTATATTAAAAAAAATTAAAGGGTTGTGTCCTTGACACGACCGCAGTATGACGTAGAACCACACAAAATTGATGTTTTTCATGCATTTTTGACTATTATACTTTATCTTAAAATTTTCAAGTATTTCAACGTTTCATTTATGGTTGACTCAAAACAATTTACACATTTTTCTTGACAAATATCCATGTGAAATTCCACATGATTTTCATTTGACCACACATAAACAGAATCCACTCAGAAGAACACACAAAGATGAATACTAAGATGAAACTGTCGGAAGAAAAACTTTCTATTTTAGTGTCCTCTTTCACGGTCCCTTTCATCCAATGAATACCCCCCGTATTCAAGATAATTTTGTGGTTTTGCTGCCCCTTTGGTATAGAGATGAAATCTCGCCTAACTTTTCAAAAGGTCCTATCTAACATTTAACTCTTTTCGAGAAAAACGAGGTTGAAGATTGACAAAATCTTTTTTGATACTATTTTAAACCAAATCAACTTTTGTCATTTTTAAGACCTTTAATAGTAAAATGCAATAGTAAAATTGAAATTGAAATTATAATCTACCCGTTTCATACATTTTTTTTTCATGTTATATAGGACGTTTTGTTATAATCACAGTTACATAGGTCATTTATGTTTTCAACATTATTTGTTTGTTTTTAAGCATTATGAGTGCATAATTTAAGTTATACGAGTTAAACGAACAATATGAGTATTGGACAATGCATCAACTTTTTTTAACGATATATCGCAACACTGCCCACAGATTGTTTTGGTCGATCGTTGGTGGTCGCGTGAGCTGCATTTTATTTGATAACAGTGTTATTTTAGGGGCTGTTCACTAACTACGTAGACAGCTTTTCGGTATGCTTGACCCCCCCCCCCCTACCCATGCGTAGACAATTGTCCATATAAACATTTTAAAATTTGTATGGGCCGTGGATAATTGTCATTGATAATTGGTTAGGAGAGGTTGTTGAGGGGTGGGGAGATTGTTGTGAAGGGGGAGGGAGAGAGGTTGTTGTGAATGAGGAGGGGGTTTACATCATTACATTTCATCATTGTGGTCACGCCGTGATCCACCTTTAGCTGCTGATTTGGTCCTGCTTACTGCAGGACCAAGTCCGAAGCGACAATGAGCAAACGCATTTTGCCATTTTTTGCCATTTAAATGATCTTTATTTCTTGTGATTGTGTGGTTTACATGTATGAATTTGTTAAGTGACACAGATGCGTCTTTTCAACTTTAGTACATTTGAGATTTTAATTATTATTTACAGTTCCTAGTCCTATCAGGCCTATTTTTGAAGTATGACCACCTTGGTGGGATTGGTTTGATTTGAATTGGAAAAACTTATCAAAGCATGTTCTGATAAATTACATTTTTGTGCAAATTTAGTCTTAATTTCGTTAATTTTGGAATCTATTTTGGCAATGCCTGCCTCTTCATGTAAATTTGTTATTCTAGTGTCGAAAGGACGATCAAGAACCATCCTCAGCACTCTATTCTGAGCTACCTGAATTTTGTTCCTGTGAGTCTGTGCACATGATTCCCACACCGGAGCTGCGTAGAGGATCGCAGGTGCTATGATTTGTTTGTAGACGGCCAGTTTGTTCACCCTTGAGAGGCGGGATCTGCGGCAAATCAGCGCTTACAGACACCTAACCAAGGCGGAGCACTTGACTACGGTTTTCTCCACATGCTAGCGGAATAGGAGCTTTTCGTCAAACAACATCCCGAGATAGGTTACTTCGGCGGACCACTGAACCCTTGTGCCATCCATGATTACAGTACAAGAGGGAGCCGGTTTTAGTTTGGGTGATTGCCGATGGAGGAACATGATTGTTTGTGTTTTGGAAGCATTGATTTTGATTTTCCACGTGGTGGCATAATCAGCAAAAGCGTTAAGGCATCGTTGAAGTTTGTTCGTTATTTCGCGAGGCATCCTTCCTTTGACGGCTATTGCAGTATCATCTGCGAACAGGAAAAACACGCAACCGTCTCCAAGGGGAGGAATGTCAGAAGTGTAAATGCTGTAAAGCAAGGGTCCCAGCAGACTGCCTTGCGGGACTCCTGCTGGGATGGAAAACGTGTCGGAAAGACAACCATTCAACGATACCTTAAACGACCTTTGCTGGAGGTAGCTACGGGTGATTTTAACCAGATGTAATGGAAAGTTGAAGTTACAAAGCTTGTATACAAGCCCATTGTGCCAGACATTATCAAACGCTTTCTCAACGTCTAACAAGGCCATGGATGTGGACTTGGATACAGCTTTGTTACTTCGGATGTTATTCATCACGCGCACTAGCTGGTGATTGGTGGAGTGCCCCTTTCTGAACCCAAACTGTTCCGGAAGTAGAATGTTATTTTCCTCCACAAACTTGAGCAAACGATTGATAATGAGTTTCTCGAACAATTTGCTCAGCGCTGAAAGGAGGCTGATTGGTCTGTAGCTTGAAGCTAGCGTTGGGTCCTTCCCGGGTTTGCGGATAGGTATGATTTTCGCTGTCTTCCAGATACTTGGAAAGTAGTGCAGTTCCAAGCATCTGTTGAAGACAGCAGCCAGCAGAGAGTAAACCTTCATGCTGAGATTTTTCAACACTAGGTTGAATATTCCGTCAAACCCGGGGGCCTTCATGTTTTTGGTGCATTTCAGCGCTGAGCAAATCTGTTCCACTATGATTCTATCCTCCGGAGGGATGGCACAAGGGGAGGAATCAAGGTTGAGTACGCATTGCTCAACCTGAACTTCGAGCGGACTTTGGATGTTAGAGCCAAGCAAGTGCGATTTGGCAATATGCTCACCAATCGCATTTGCTTTCTCCTGAGGGATGATTATGAGCCGATCGTCATAATTTTCATTTTTGAGTGGTGGAATGGGTTTAGGGTGCGTCTTTAAGACCTTGGCAACTTTCCAGAATGGTCTGGAGCGGTCGTCCAGATTCTGGACAAGCCACCCGAAACTTTCGTTCCGGAGTGAGACCACCCGAAAAAAAATAACAACAAAAATACAATAAAAAACAATGTAACAATAAGACGAAAATTATTGTCTTAACAATGATTTATATTGTTACGTCTACAATAAATTTACCTTGATTTATGTTGTACAAAACAGTAAATTTCATGGTAAATGGAAAATTTACAATAAAAAAGGGGGGTTGTTAAGTATCTTAACAATGAAATTTTCGTGATTTCCCCATATAATTTTTTTTCAATAACATTATATATTATTGTTATTTTACTGTTGGTTGGCGAATTTATTGATTAAAAAAAATAACAGTGTACTTTAGAGTGTATGTGTTGGCTTGACAGATCTACTTTATCGACTTTAAAAATAAATCGAAAAAATAAAACATCGCCCCGGGGAGGGAAGGGGGTGGTAATGTCTGTTACGGGTGAGTCCTTTTTTTACTGGTTATGGATTGAGATTCGATCCGGAACTTGTGAGAAATGGAAGCCAACTCCCCTGCACTCGATCTCTCTAGGTCACGTCTCCTTGGTGGTTGAACGTCGTTGATAAGTTAATGCATTCAACTGGAGAGAATCGCCCATGAAAATATGCTTCCACCTGAGAGTGATTTCCTGACATCTTCAAGTGGTGGATTTTTTTATTATTATTGTATGATTAGTGACTGCACGGAAAAGGTCTGCATTAAGCGGGATTTAGATGAGGCAGGAGAGTTGAGTTCAACTCAAACCGATCTGGTCGTAGGCGTTCAATTGACTTGGCAACGAATACAGCCAAACGAACTGTCAAAGCAAGAGCCATACGAGCAGCACCTATCTTGATTACATTGGCAGTGTTGCTGACCCTCTCATAGTCTGCATGCTTCAATCAGATTTATTTTTATTGTTCGTGAAGTAACCCACAATGAAAACACACCAATATTTAATGTAACAACATTTTTATTGTAATAGAATTGTTCATTATTGTTCGTGATCGAATCATGTTAACAATAAAATAAATGAAAAATACAATAAAAATCATTGTAACAACATTTTATTATGTACATTCATTGTACAGCTAGGTAACAGTTTTGCCGTTTTCGGAAGGGTACAACATTATAACAATCATTTTTATTGTCGACAATAAATATTAATGTTAGAGCATTGTTTCCACTGAAAATTTCACTGTAATTTTTTTTTCGGGCATTCTGGAAGCAATCTTCTTGTTCAGATTGGCCATTTCACGTTTCCTCGCTAGATCTCCAGTCCTCTGAAACTGGCGTCTACGAACATTTCTCAGGCGAATTAAGAGTTGGGTGTGGGAATCAATGGCAATAAGCTTACCCCTCACAGGAACTCGTCGGACGCACGCCACGGTTATGGCTTGGTGGAGTCCTTCCAACGCTCGGTCAATGTCCTCCACGGAGTCAAGCGGTGGGTTGTCGATGATGTGCCTGTCTACCACGCGTCCAAACTGGGCCCAGTTTACGCGATGGTAGTCCTTGCGCAGGCTTGGAGCAGGAGCTACGTTGTATCCCAGTTCAGCCACCACCGGTTGATGGTCGGAGCTGAGTTCGTTTAAGGCTACCGGCTTGGACAAGCCGGTATTTGAAAGAAACAGGTCTAGCGTCGATGGGTTGCCTGCCGGTGAGATGAATGTTGGCTCGTCCGAGAACCAAACGGAGTACAGCCCATGCTGCAAATGGTCGAACAGCAGACGACCGTTCTGGTTCTGCTGGTAGTTCCGCCAGGCCTCATGGCGAGCATTCAGATCTCCTCCAACAACGAAGCGCGAACCGGTACGGGTGATGGTGGACAGGTCTTTCTTGAATTTAGCCGCTAGTCCGCTGCTGCCGGCACACTGTCGAGGGCAGTAGACGGCGATGAACTGGATGTATCCAGTCGACGACTCCACCTCCACACCAAGGGCCTCGATGATAGAGGTGCGGATATGGGACAGAGTGTGGTATTTTATTCCTTTCTTGA